GAGAGAAAAAGAGAGATGCCGTCGAGGGTGATCGATCCGCGTTTTGTTCGCTAAAAATAATGCATAGCGCGTCTCTTCGTATATACAAACATAATATTATTCTGCAAACATCTTATTTTGTGGCAAATTATGTTATTTTGTATGAGTTTCAATTGCAATGTAAATTCTTTTCTTCCGTGAATAACAGATATTTCCTAGGATCTATTATTTCCAATATTCACCTATGATTTTAATTCGGGATTTCGGAACATAATTATTTATAACCTAATATTATAAATTATAAAAGAAAAATAACTTGATGTTTAATTCAAATAATTAATATTATTAGATCGTTAAATTTAAAAATGATTTATTATAAATAAAATCATAAAATATAAACTCGTTTTACAAAAAATTTCTTAAACAATAATAATTTTAAAAATAATGTTATTTGTAAAAGTTTGTATATTTTTTATAACTTTATTTTTATTTTTGTGCAAAGTAGAAAGTTGCACCCAAGAACATCGATCAGTCTGTGTACCAATTTCTTTTTCCATTTCAAAAAGCGGCCCGAGGGAATCGAATAAAGCCGATCCGCAATCAGCACCCGAGTATAGGACGCGCCGAAAAAAATCGTGTGAAATGAACTGATCAAATGTTGGCAGTGTCAAATTTTCCATCTGCCGCGTTCGCCTCGTGCGAAATAATCCTGGGTTGGATATAAAAAAAGTCTTGCTTCCAATTTGACACTAGTATAAATTTTCACCGATCCTCTCTGGGTCGGATAAATAAATGTCTGTGAGGAAAACAAAACATGCTTCTCCGTCGAGCGAAAATGCAAATTTTGCGGCTTATGCGACGAGCCACAATTTATCACGCGGCTCTCTTTTCCAACATTTCTCTCTGCCGCTGATTAACAAGTCAATGAGATTTGAAATTATTACGACCGCGATGATCGGCCAGTGACGCACACCGGCTGGAAAGGGAATTTAAATGTCAAATCAAACGGCTGCCTGCTGTCCGTTTTGCGCGCCAGATTTTCTGCCCCAATTTTCACGCGTTCCGATCGAATAATTATTTTAAATTATTTTATTCCGTGATGATCATATTTCGTTTAAGTTGAAATATATATCGACAATATGTTACAAATAATAATATTATTCTTTGCACTTATTTAAAGCATAATAATATTGATTTAGAAAAATAAGGAAATGGAAAACAGGAAAACATTTGAGATATTTTGAACAACATACTCTGAATTAATTTAAAGTCAATTGACGATCCCTTTTGCGAATAAAAAAATTGTAACGAACGTTAATTGTATGATAAGTTGAAAGAGAGAAATATATTATGCAGTTTGAACCAAAAAATTGTATTGTTTGAAACAGTTTAAATTGCTTTAAATTTGTGTTTTTCTCAGTTAAAATTTTTTGCATCACAATCGTTATATTTAATTAAATTTATTAGAAAGAATACCATTAATATTATTCATTTATAAATAATCAAAATATTTAAATTGAATCTTTTGCCATGTACGCATTTTCAAGTTTACAGTGCATATTAATACAGAAGTCATTCTAAATTTCTTATTTCTCTTCTGTATATTTCGGAAAAATAAATTTTTACGCATTTAAATGTATTTTTCATCATCTCCATTTGCTCTATTTTTATTTTGTCTCAGACAATGACTCATTCAATGAAAGAGGCCTGACGTCGTTCTCAGCAAGTCTGTTGCATTTTGATATGCGTGATAAAACTTTCAAATGTGAATCCATCATTATCTTGGACTACAATAACTTCTGCAGCATCCGAAATACGCACGTCTGTTTTGCGATGACGAGAATTTTGATCGCCAGTGACGTCATGGCACCCAAATCTTACAGATATTGAAAGACAGTTTGACGCAATTACTTCAAATAAAATCTCAAGGGTTGTCGGACCGAACCGGATCCACACAAAATCATCAACAGGCTTCAAAGCGAGGGTGGTCGTTTCTAAATATAAAATTTTGTCCGTTGACTTCAAAATATAAAATGACTTTGTGTAGGATTATCGCTTATCTTTCTTTGCACTTCCGGTGTTACTTAACCCACCGCTGCATTATCAGCCAACTTGTAAAATAAATCATACATAATTCCTGCATTATATACCACTAGGATGCAACACAAGAAGTTATCCTTGAAAATCTCCTTCCACATGCACCGTTTATTTTTCTCCAGCAAAAAATAATCATTATGCAATGTTTGAACAAAATCCAGAGAATTGTTTAAATCAATTAAAATACTTCAATGAAATAAGCAGAGACTTTTATAAATTCAATTTTAATTAAGAACGGAAAGAGCACGTGTCCGAATGAAAGCTAATGGATGTGCGTGCACCAGCCATCGTAAGCGTCGCGGCCTTGAAGTCTGTCGCTCTTCGCAAAACATCAACACACACACGCGCGCGCAACCCAGTCAGGTGCACTATTATCTTTAACGAACGTGTTGTGTTTTTGGCGGGAGCAGGATTAACGGAACACTGAAAGAGGAATTTTTTTCAAAATAATTTTGAGCTGAAATTTTGAAAAGAAAACAAAAATATAAACATTTAATTAGTCTTGAAAATGGAAAAAAGATTTCGCAAACTAAATTTAAAAATATATAATTATATCTTTTGCTTCGAATTATATTTTAAATTTTATTAGATTTGATTCTTAATGGAGAAATAGCGTGGTTTCCTCTTCATGTTTTTTAAAATTTTAATTAAAAAAATGTATTGTCATTAAATTGAATACATTCAATGAAAAAATGTTAGCTAACAATGGATGAAAAATTAATAACGTAGAGGATCACTTACAATATGTGCAAGATTAAATTCCTAATTTAACATAATTATTGTTGCCTATTATAAACATTCAAAAATTGACTGTGTGGGAAAATTATAATTATTGTATTTCATAAATTGAAAAAAAAAAAAATTGAGAAGCTCATCTTATCACGTTGCAGTAAAATACCAACCATTCTTAATTGAATTAATTTTTTATGGGAAACACATATTTGGCTCAAATGTTTGTCTGGAGACACAGTAGCCGAATAGAGTTATTTTTCCATCGAAATTTATTGATATGTATTCCAATAAAATTGTTACAAGAAAAAATTCTTTGGAGAAAAGTAATTTTTGAGAGGGAAACATTGAATAATTCTTGGAAAAAAACTACTAACATCAGAGATCAACATCAACATGTGCTTCAAAGAAAAATTTTATTTTACTATTATTTATTTTAATAATTTTTGTTTTTAAATTCATGCAAATCAATGTGAAATAATAATTTATTTTTTTCTGTTTTGTAAATGTCAAAGAATTAAATAAAATTCTCTGGATGATTTTTTTTCCCATTATCAACACTTTCGCTTGCACGAATGAGCCCAATTTAGTCAAGATTGTGCATTTTGGCGCGTATATTGTTCACTCACGATAAAAACAGACCATGGATTTCGTTATCAGTCGCGATAAATAGCCATTTGACGATTTCGTTTTGCCTTATCAATCAGCTGCATCCGCGCCCTGCCAAGTGCATTTGAAATTGGAGGAAAAATTAATAATATATATTTCATCATCTTCTCTCATTAGTTGCATTTTTCGTTTCGTTTTGAACTCGACCAACTCAAGGTCGGCGCTAATATTTATCCGCTGAAAAAAATTACCATGCCCAAGAGTGGAAGATCATGACAATGCAGAATAAACATGGTGGCAGCTCATCTTTTTTCATCTTGGCGCGGCTTGAGGAGATGAGCAATCTGTCTGCGCGCTATGCTCTCTAGATTTTTGTTTGCTTTTCTCAGCAGCCGCGTTCAATTTTCTTTCCTTTTTCATGTGCGTGGTGTGTTGTGAGCGAATCAACAAACTGCCTCCACTGCACTGTTCTCGCTCTCTCTGGTGAGCGGAAATTGATCAGTTTGTAGCTTTTGCCGGGCCGGGCAAACATTTGCTCACCCGCTTATTGCGGAAGTCGAGGAAGCGCTCGACTTTTATCAAATTGAAAACCTCCTCTTTCTGCTACGCAAAATAATGATGGGCGGAATAGGTGATTCTTAGAATTTTACCGGAAGATGCTGGGTTTCTTCACAAATTCTTATCAATGAAGCGATATTTTTTTATCCAATAAATTTGCTAGTTTTAAGGAAAACTCGTTATTTGGTAGATTTTCAAAACTTTGAATGTCCTTATCAAGTATAATTTTGGCTTTTAAAATGTTATTAATATAGATATTTTTGCAATCTACTTATACAAGTTCATAATATATATTATATTATACAATCATACTTTTTTACAAAGCTTCTGGATATTTTTTAATCATTTTTATAATTTTAGTTCATTTTGCTCCAAAGTTAATTCTAATCATGGATCTTTGCTAATTTTGCCATCTTGATTCATAAGTGTGCAATTTAAAATTTGATTCAATATTACGTAAAATAAATTTCTAGCAATAAGTACAAGTTTTATACTGGAATGCAAGTGTTTTTATTTTCAATAATTTGATGAAAAGATGAACTAAAAATTAAATTAATTAATAATCAGATATATTACCGCAAAAACGCGCAAAATCAAAGCAGTGAAAAATTGCATTGTCCGTTTAAATCATATAAAGTAACACACTCAGCGATGCACCAAAATTAAATACATAAATATTTTCATCATTATTTGATACTTAATATATGAGAGCTTAAAATTGTTGTTTACTAAACTAGAATTTTTGAAAATTAAAAAAAAGTTGAAGAAAGAATGAATTGTTGGGAAAACAGGCAATAGACTTTAAAAATCCAAATGATAGGCGTTGATTTAGATAATTCGCAATGTTTTTTTAATCAAAAGACTAAAAAAAAAATGAGCAGAAATTCAAAAATCGTGTAAATAATTTTTCAAAGAATATAGATAAGCGTGTGAGGAAGGGATTTAATAAAATGCAATATTTTATTTAAAAAAAAAAAAATAGAAATTTTCAAATTAGCTCATAATGTTTTATTTCTTTTTGATTCTAGGCGACCAATGAAGAAACAGACGCGCAACAGCAGCCAGTGTATCGGGAGCGGGGCCGGAGTCCCGGGGTGGGCCCGATGCGGAGGGACCGCCGCATCGACACCTCCCCGTACAACAGCGGCTCGTCCTACCTTACGCCTCCAGACTCAAGTTGGAAGCACCGCAGTGACTCGGCACTGCACACGAGCTCCCTCAGCGCACAGAACAATCCTGGCTCGCCAAGACGATGTAATTTTTTTACATTATTTTTCTAAAATAAAATTCCGTTTGTAATAAATTGAGCAAAAGAAAAGTAGGGAAATCATCTCATGAATAGAAAAAATAAAATGTATTTTAGCATCAATTTCTATAGTTTTGAGCTCAAAATTTTTCAATTTTAGAAAGAACTTTTTTGTAATTAAAATGTTCTGTAAGTTGAAGTTTTGTGTGCGTGTAGACAATTTCTCTTTTTTTTTTATAAAGCTGATAATCGGCCGATTGACACACGGCATTATTTTCGTTTTTCATTATCTCATACATAAAATCATAAAATGCAGAGCCTTGCACTTTTGTCGAGCGACCTTGGCTCTACACTTATCACTTCCTTATACCGCTCATTTGTTTTCACTACGTTCGGAGCGCGCGGGTCCCAAAAACTACTATGCGTGGGTGGGCTGTTTGAAATTTCTCGTCACTAATGCTTATGCAGATTTTTACAATTCTTTTGCAGCTCTTAGTCCAATGGGTGTAGTAATCAATGACCGTAGTTCCTTGGCTGTGAATAACGACATCAGAATAAATAGATCATCAAGTGATGTGAGCAGAGTAACGCCAAGGATTAGGTAAAAAAAAAATTATCTTTTAATTAGAAACTATTGAGATATTTTTTTATCCCACCGAATCCTAATTTCCTAAAATACTGTAAAATAAAGTGGAGAATTCATTTATTAAAACAGACACAAAATAACATTCAATCATTATTTTGTAGCTTTTTTGTTGGTCATAAGATAATTTCTTAACTTTTTAGGTATAAAATAGTAATATTGCATAGGCTACAACCTTTTTTATTTTAGAAAAATCGTGTATTTTAATTAATTTATTTTAATTTGATATTAGCCTGTAAATTTAAAACCGTAGACGTTTTGAAAATTATATTTAACAAAACTTTTGTCCTTTCAGTATTGACCCGACGCAGACAGATCCCAATGCAGTCTCAATACCAATAGCAAACGCCACTGGCTCGCTACCAGACCTGCACAATTTCCAATACTACCAGCCCACTGGCATGACACCAATCGACCCTGAGGACCCCATTAGTTCTCCGTGCAGCACAGTAAGTGTCCGTTGGCAGTTCCGGAGGTGCCGAACTTAGTTTATTCCTTGAAAAGAAAATTTCCCCAAGTACATATCAGTAGAAAATTATTCTTATATATCAGTTCTTTTGCTCTCTCCTTTTGAAGTATATTTCCCTCCTAAACCATTATTTTTGGGTGAAACTAAACGTGGGGCTTTTAAAGAGTCCACAAGGCGCAACAAGCCCTTCCACCCTGTCGCCAACAAGCATGCCGACCCGACCTGCCGGCCGCTTTTCGTTTGGCTCGCAAGGCTCGGGCGGCTCTCCGCAGGCCACCAGCCCAGGCCACTCGCCTGTTGCGAGGCGCAAGGTGCACCAACAGCAGCAACCACAGCAGCAGCAGCAACTCATTTTGGGCGCCGCTGTAAGTGCAGGATTCATAAAATCTGCACTCGCTAGCTGTTTTTATTTTTCTAAAATTACAAACCAAATTACCAAACCCGCCTCTTTTGCACATAATATTTTGGTTTTTATTTCCCTGCACGCTGATTTATTTTTTATTAATTTATTTTGTTATTTTGTTGCTTTATTTTTGTTTCTTTTTCTTTGTCATTTTTAGTTCCACCGCCTGAACAACCAGCTTGACGTGCCGTCCTCTTATACCAACTTTCCTCACATGAGCAGGGTAATGCATGGCTCATCCCCAAATGTCTCCTAAGATTTTAAATACCCTATTGTTGTTAGTTAATTAGCTCCTAATAACCCTGAACAAGTTGACCTCAAGCACTTATTGTATTACACGATTTAATGCTAGTTTTCTTTCAAAATTTTAGAAATATTGCTAGTTAATTTCAATGTTTTTACCAAATATTTATAGTACAGAAATTTTACACATCATGTAATGATACTCAATGAAATGTTTGTCTTTTAATTTTTTCAAACAATTTTAACCCCAAAACCAATAGATTTGATAGTTGGAGAAGAACAAAACTTTTTATATCAAAAATTAAATTATCGTGATTTCCAGGTGTACACAACGGAGGTCAATGGTTCATCAATGATGGACCCATCATCAATTCACCAGCAGCACCAACAACAGCAACAACAGTCCATGCTCTACCAGCAGCAGCAGCAACAACAGCAGCAGCAGCAGCAGCAAACATTACAAAGACAAATGTCGCCTCAGCCACCTCATTCCCCGCAACAAGCACAGCAACCAAAACAAGAACCAAGTTCGCCTCTAGTCAATAGCAACCACAACATGCCATCAGTGAGTTATTTTCCTCACCTCTGTTCTTGCTGTTTTATCTAATAGGTGTCACTTTTCAATTAATCGTAGCTTTGAAAGTACTTCATTGAGAAAATCTTCAGAATTGGCATGGATTAATTATTTAGACTAAATTTTTCTAGATTGATTATTTAAAAAAATTTTATATTTTAAAAAAAAAATTAGTAGCCTGATGTTAATTTTGAACTGAGATAATTTAGAGCATGCACTGCTTTTGTGTCATATATTTTCATACCTTTCTACTCTACTCTTCAGATGTTGAAATTTCCAAATAGTGAGCAGAGCAGTTGCTGATTATTTATACATACCTTTAGTCTCGAACGCCACCTTAGTCGTGGAATGCAGTTTGTGCCGTAGTCAGTTGTGAAATGTTAATTGCAGCCACAGTCACTGAGTGTGTACAGAGACCCATTAAGACCAAGTCCTCAGCCTTCGCCAGTGCCCATGTCGGGATCTTACCTGATGCCCGTAAGTACTACCCTGACTGGTGAGACCGAATGAAAGAAAAAGCAGGAAGGAAAGCATTTAATGTTAGATGTTCTGCACTTTTCCTTTTGACTAAAAAGAACTACTTGCGCTTTTTCAAACACTATAGATGTAGCCTGCTTGATTGATGTCCTCTAGTTGATCTATTAGTAGATTTACTTTTGTCAAAATTTAATTGATAAACCAGAAATTTCACGGATCAAATTTGGAATTTTGTAGCTTCTGTTTTTAAGCTTTGATTGTACTTGCAGGGAAGTCCGGACTACCGAAGCGCCAGTCCGGCTGACACCGCCAGTCACAGTGCGCCACAAAGCCCCATATCCCAGAACTTATCGCCGGTCAGTTCGCCAGGCATTGGCGGCGTCATGCCCGACCACAACAATTTCAACTACTGCAACAATCTGCAGCAGGAGTTTTCACAAATCTCAATGGTAAGTTTGCAAGCCTTTGGCAGGCACTGGCTGAGTCAAAGCTTTTGCTCCGTAGATTTAAGACCTATAATTATCGCTCTGACTAACACTTTGCCTATTTAACGCTGCTTGTGAAGGGGGTGGTAAGTAGCTTTTGTGAGGAATTATATTTAACATGTGTGGGGTTTGTTCTCCCTTCCTTGTCTCTCTCACTCTCTCTTTGGCAAATTGTTCAACTCACCTTAATGATTAGAACTACTTCAAACTATTATTCAAATTTAAATCAATATAGAGAACAAATTTAAATGCAATTTTTAGTTCATCTTTTTATTTTCATTTTTAGCAAAACTAAACTAAATCCACTAACAATTCACGGTTGAACAAAGTTGCCCTAGATGTGTTTTGACCAATTTTTGAGCAATCACTAACATGGTGTGTGTTGTTTTGCGTTCGTCAACTGCAAGGATTGGTGCCAACTAGTTAATAGTTTGGTCGAAAGTGAGTGGACGACAGAGCTGCAGGTGATTTGGCCCAGATGTTTCAAATTTTGCATTTCTAAACTCTCTTGTGCATGCCAAGATTTTTCGGACCATTTTTCGCTACCATTTTTTCTAAAAGGAAAATTTTTACCCCCCTTGAAATTCTGTATCCACCGCTGCTGGGCGACATATTTTTCCTCAATTTTTCACTTTCTCCAAAGAGAATGTAGTTTTTTTTTTTCAAATTGCAAGAGCACAAATTGGAATTGTAGTTGACCATGATTTAAATTTGGTTGCCCTCCTGATCCGTTCTTCCTTGGCCTTACTGACGACTTTCACTGCCTTTTGAATGTTTTGAGTGTCGTGTTTTTGTGTCTTGTGTCAATGATTCTTTCTGCGTCAATTTTTCAACAGAGAGGATCAGCTTGGAAAAAGGATTTGTTTTGGTTTTTATTAAAAATGCATGTTACATACGCTAGTCTTATTAGATATATGAAAATATATTCAATAAACAAATTAGAAACGTTCTGCTTTTTTCTTAATTTTTATAAGTTATACCCTTTTCAACTATAATATTTTTTCAGTGCATCATAATTAATGGTATAGTGGACTGTAAAAATCATATCCTAATAGTTTTTTCCCCAAATTTTTATTTCTGTTTTAATTTTCAATTCACCAGCTTACAATGGTTTTTTCTCCTCTGTTAACAGACCGACTTTGCCACAAGTCCTCCGAACCAGGCCTACGTCTCTACCCAGTTTCAGGTAGGCAGAGATTTGTATGGCAGGCACAGGATGGATGACTTCAATTGTGGTTGGCCCCAACAGGCGCTAGTGCAAAGTTGCACGGACGACTGTCGGACGGGCAGTCAGGACATAGGCAGCGGCGACATGGGCTACTGCAGCCGGACGTCGCCTAACTACAGCAACATGAACTCAAACAGCGGCGGCAGCACCCAGCAGACCACCCCACAAACACCAACGCCCAACATCACCATATCTGGTGAGAAGTGCAACCTTGTTGGAAAAAAAACTAGTTTTTTAAAATGCTTCCATCCTTTTTTCCAGATTATTCGTTTAGCAATCATTTATTTGAGCATTAGGCTTGCACCAAAGAAGTATGTTTTTTGTTTTAGTGAGGTTTTATTTTAATTTTTTTGGGATTCTTTTGCACTGTTCAATGTTTATTTAATTTGGATTTTAATTTTAAATACAAATACATTTCAGTAGAAAATTCAATATTCTTGCCCAGATTTTCCCTTTTTAATTTTTTTTTTACATTTTTGAAACATCAAAAATCATTACTATTTCATTAAGTAATGTAAAACATGAAAAGTACAGAAAAATATATTATTCAGTAAATTCCCTCACTTTCATGGCACTCCTCTTTTCCATTTCTTGAATATTTGTTTTCACTCTGAACAATAATAAACTAAATTTTACTTTTTTTCTCCTACCAGACTTCTCAGACGAGGGATCGGCGGAGCCCGAGCTTAGCAGGGATCTGACCGCCGCCATGATCACAGCGTCCTTTGACACGGAGGCGTTGACCGACGAGATTCTTAGCACGATCGAACCGATTCCCTTCGACGACATCCCCTTGTTGAACAACAACATAGCGATCACAGACGCTCTGACCGAGGACTCTTTACGCTTCAACAATATTTAAAATTCACACAAAAGTTTTAGCTTTTTGACTTTTTCTCTCTCTCTAACTCTCTTTTTTCGGTTCGTTGGAAAAAAGAAGAAGAAGAAGTGCGGCGAAAAAAAAGAGACATCAAGCTAAGAATTGGGGGAAATGCCAAATATCAGTACCTTTGTCAACAAACTGTTAACATAAAAACAAAATCGAGAGTTGATGAGTCAGTCTGAATGATTTGGGTGGATCGTTGATTGAACAACTTTAACGTACCTGTGGTGATCAAGCTGGACTTTTTTTGAAGAAAATAAATTGAAAATGCGCGCGAATAATTATGGAAAATTCTCTCCTAATAACGTGTGAAAGTGTGTCTTATTAAGTATAAAAAACAAAACAGAAGAGGAAGACGCGTTGGCCGTTTAAAGACTTTGGATTATCAATTAAATTAACTTTAAATTTATATGATATAAAAGATGTTCACTGCTTGTAAATATTGATTAATACCACTGCTACTGTGCAAAAATAATGTTGTTCATTTTGTTTGTGATTTGCGAACTCGTCTTGGGCCATCCCCAGTGAGCTTCGTCCTTTGTAAAATATTTTGCTCTCATCACACACATTACACATTTAAACAAACACATACACTTTTATCCGCGCATACAATGTAGCAAATAATTTTTTTTAAACAAACTTTCTCCTTCCCTTATGTTTCTTGATTTGTGCTCAAAGTTTTTGTTTTTAATTTGTAATTAAACATAGAGACGCAGTGTTCGCACGCGAGCAATGAGAGTGGCGAGCGAATGTGCTTCTGACGTAGGCGCGATAATGGAACGACGCCAGCTCGTTCGGGGGGCAATCATGAGGTCCAAACCTCTCCTGACACTGCATTTATTAAAACTTAAATACTTCAATTATAACTCTCAGCAAGTAAATGTTCCTTTCATTCAGTAATGGATTTTTTGTATAACAATTTAAAAAGACCAAGAAAGAACCTGCAAAAATTGTTTAATTTATTTATATATCAGCAAAAAGAAGATACATAGTTTCTTTTTACAATTTTTTTCCTGCAATAGGACAAATTCTGTAATTCAGTCGCACTACTATGAACTATCTCTGTGGCAGTCAACTGATTTTTAAATAAAATTTAACAAATTTTCAAGGGTTATAATGGTCTCAAAACTCAACAACCCTGCCGTTGATTGATCCACATATTTATAAAAAAATTTTATGAATTGGTGCCAAAAAGATTGACATTTAAAAAATTGCGTGTAATTTTAAGAAAATTTAATAATCTAGAACAAACAAAAATTGAGTGGTTTTGGACAATTGCGACCTTTTCGCCGCACTGCACACTTAGAAATCGATTTCCTTAATCAATTTAGTGCATGAGACTGAAGCAAAAAATAAGATTTTCTTTGCCCTCCACTCGTGTCTGACAAATGCTTATGCCGCGGACGAAAGGAAAGCAAACAACAATTTTTAATGTACTTTTTGATCTTCAAATTGCAATATTTGACAATTTATCCAGACCACACACTTTAACATGCATTATCTAAAACATTATTTCCGCGAAACATCAAATTTTGGGACGCAAAATTCCATACACATACACTTAATATCAATGAATGTTTGCATTACCAAAAAATCAAGAAGCTTTCAAGCGTACCACACTAAAAATATGAAAAAATCACATTTACTACGAGTAATTAAAATAGACAAGAGCAAAAATATGAGAGGAATAAATTATATATGCAGTGAGTGGTTTTTGAAAGATACTACGCCGCAATAGAACTGTAAGATTTCTGAAATGCTAACGCACAAATCCAAAGAGATCGTTTCTTAAGAAGAACGTATAAAAAATATCGTGGAAAATTATAAGCAGAGAGATAGTTTTATTATCGCAGAAAGAATTTATGAGAAAATCAACACGGTTTGATAGAAGAAAAATATGTAACATTTAAGGAAGTATGTAAAAATTATTAGAGCTTTCTTAGAGTCATTTATTAATTCACCGAAGAAGGAAAATAAAATACCTATCGCCATTGTGAGCCACGAGAAAAATATTATTACCAAGCTGTAAGAGAGCAATTCCTAGTTGAAGTAAAAAGATGATTATCAGAAAACCTTATTAAACCATATTAGAGTCGAATTTATACATGTTGTAAGAACAATCCCATATTCTATGAAAAAAATACAAGAAACAAGTCCTATACAATTCCCACACGATGAATTATTGACAATGAGAGTCGGATGGCCAAAAATACACGCATACTTCACATGAACACACAAAGTCAGTCTTTGTAAAAGGCTTTTACTCGAGTACTTATTAATTAATTATGTATATCACCACAAAGAATAGTGAGGTTGAAAGAAAGAACGAAAATTTAATTGCATTGAGATAATAACTACCATATATTGCAAACTACAGTACATTAAAACAAGCCAGTTGTTTCTGTTTTCCAACTGATTAAGTTAAGGGCCAAGTTTATATTCGAGTGCCTGTAGATCAGGTAAAAATTTTAGACGCCAATTTCAAATTAACATGTAATAATATCCAACCCAGTTTGTATATCTCAGTTAAAATTCAAAGCGCTCAAAGATAGACAAAGTGTCAAAATTTGGGTTAAATTTTTTGCTCATTTATTAGTCACTCTTTATCACATTTTGACTCTTGCCTTAAAACTTTTTTTTAACTAACAAATTTCAAATTTTGAATTATATTGGCATTCCGTAACCCCCGGATGGTCATTTTTTTTTCTTATCAACGCATTCAAAATGTATTGAAAAGGATTATTTTCTAACAACTTTTGAAGATCTCATGAGTGTCAAGTAAGGACGAGTTAATTTTCTTCTTGTTTGATGAGAATGACGATGATTTGTACAAAGTAGGAAAAACATAACGTGAGAAACCAAGCGTGTTTTTCTGCCGTGGAAGAAGCCGTTGAAAATCAAACTGTTGTGAGTTATTATATATTAAATATTATTGAATAATTAAATATCATTGAGGAAAAAAGTAAGCAAATTGTCAATGGTTTATTTATGTATTTCACTTTTACGTTTCTATTTTTAAGCCTATTTGTTGATAAAAAAAAATAAAACTCGGAAAAATATTATAAGTGGATTTTATGTTTTAAAAAGAAATGTGAATTGCGCGTTCCGCAAAGGAGCGAAGTAAAATAATAAGTGCCCTCTGTACGTGTGACTTTTCTTGGTTGTAGTCTCTTGCCCAACACACTTGTTTCGAAATGTGATTTTTCGTCTCGATGGATGGCTAACCAATCTTCAAACTCTTGTACGTTCGTTTCTTATGGTCCGAACATAATTATGCGTTTCTCGGTTGTAGTGCAATTTGAATGTGTATTTTATCAATGGACAACAAGAACAACAACAAAAATGTACAGAATAAAAAAGGAAATATCTCTGCCTATGTGAAACTCACATGTATTTATCAATTATTAAAAAAACTTGCACATAAACAAGCGAGATTGATGCTTGCAAAGCGACACACGATTTTTTGATACAACTGCTGGGAGTTGCTGACGAACTCTCAGATCTTAGAAGCAAAACGGAAAAAAAATACAAAAAGAGAGACGTGCACGCAACACTTGATTTTAGTATCTCTATAGGTCAACGTGCAGGTTTAAAAATGAAGCGCACGCAAACATGATTTTTTAAGACTATAGTTCAGCAAAGAAATGTTATTTGATAAAGATGAAAAAGAACGCGTTTTTCTTAATAGTTGGATAATATCAATAAGTATAAAGAAAAGTTGAAATACATAAATGTTCTTTATTTGTAACTGTTGATTGATACGAGTCAGGGGAAAATTGGAATTTAATACAGACGATTTTATTACACGTGGTTTGCATGTACGTTCTTCTATGATTGAATAATTATTATTAAAAAAAGAATAACATTTGGATATTTTAAGAGCTGCTGAGAGACGATTGTTATGATTGGTTGCTTCAGATCGAGCAAATGTTGATTAATGGGTGACGAGTTTCTGAGAAATAAAATGTGTACTCATTAAACAAATAAATTTGACTTGTTATTTTAGAAAAGTATTAATACCCTGTTAGGTATTTTTAAAGTTTTAAATAGTTGACAGAAAGGACGTATTTAATTTATATTTAATTGTTTGATTATTAATATTGTTTTGTTTCAAAATTTGAAGACCTCAAAAAAAGCTTAATAAATTTTATTGTTTGAAAACCAAGACATTTAATTAAATAACATATATAATTAATTAAATTAATTAATTAAATTAATTAATTAATTAAACAATTTTAAAGAAAGCAATTTATTTTTGCACTTCTGATAATAATGCTGACTAATTTTAATAATAGCTGCTCATATCAAAGAGTTAAAAATCAAATCATAATTAGTGACAGAACAGAAAGACAAAATACAAATATTTATTCATATTTTTACCTTTTATTAGCACATTGAATCAATGATTATTCTACTTGAACATTTAGGCCAACTAAATATTTCTGCAGTAGTAATTGTGCAAATTTCTAATTAGGCCCATCCTAATTAATTACAAATACTTGAGATCGATTTCTAATACTACACACATTCAATAAATCGATTTATTTTATAATTTTTGAGACTGGAACAATATTGAACATTCACCTCATCCAATAATATTTTCCTTTACCGCATTACGCATCATAAATTATTCTTAATTTAATTAATTATGTTATAATCGGAGGTGCAATTACTAAATTTGCTAACACAATAACGTCCCTTCCTTGTTAAATAACATGCGGCTCTAGTTCGTCCTTTTAGTTCTTGTACATGTCGCACAGCACTTTCTCCATCGGCGTGTTGCCGATGGTCTTCTGGAAAAAGATGTGCTCGACCCTGGTGGTGGCCACGTGACGCAAGAGGGGCAGCATGAGGAGCAGGCGGCCGAAACGGGCCGGCTGGGCTGGGTGTTGGGCCCTTGTGTGTTGGCCCAGCATCACCTGCGCCTGGTCTTGTAGATTTTCAACTTGGCTTGGGTCCTTCAACCCTCGCGTTTCTGTTGACAAATAAATTGAAATAAAAAGATGAGCAATAACGTCTCTTTAATAGTAACCTTCAAAACCAATGTTAAACCTTTTCAATGACAATTCATAAAAATAATTTGAAATTTTACTTCAATTATCTATCGAATTTATACTTATTTTGAATTTATCAGTCGTAATTATGAAGATTAATTAAAAAGAGCTTTCAATTTTTTTCAGAAAGCACAATTTAAATCAAAAATTAAAAAACAGAATTAATCCTGAACATTTTCACAGCCACCTCAGAAATTGAACAATGAATTTTATAAAATATCCGATAAAATTTTTCTTTTTCAGATTATGCTATTATATTAAATTCAACTATTTTATCAGTAAAATGATTATAAGTTAAATTGCAAGACAGAAATTTCCAATGACTGATTAATGCAATTTTTACTGAAATGGTATAACAAAAATTATTTAAGAGACTGACCAGCTCTGAAGAGGACAATGGCCTTCATGCAAGCAAACTCAGCAGGGTCGACGCCGACCGCCTTGTATCTGTGCAGACAATCGTTCATCACCCTGATGTCGGCGGCGATCTGGCCAGCTTTGCCGTTCGGCGCCGACTGCGTGTGTTCGGACACGGAGAAAAGGGCGCACTGCTCCAAGGGTAGACACCACTGGATTGCGTTCAAGAGGAATAACTCCGACCAAGACTCTTCCAGCAAGATTACCTTGAGAGGACACAAAAGGTATTCAAATAGTTAGTAATGAAATAAAAAGAATACTAACGCAAATTATCTAAAAAAATTAGAGAAAATTATAAAATGGTCCCCCTTTGCAAAACAAAATTCTATTCGACTCATTTTAACATTTGAACAGGTATATTGAATTTATTAAAAGGGTCAAAATGTTTAAATTTATAAATTGTCCTAGAACTCCTTTTAAAATAATAATTATGAAGCATTGAAAATTTATTAAATACATCCATTTTCTCTATTTGTCTCTTTCTTTTTGATATGTGATGAAAGATGGAGCAAAAATTAATAAGTATAAATACTTTCACTACATTTACCTGATCCCTGAAGGGCAGGCTGGCGAAGCTGGGCAGATTTTTTGCCCACTTGACGGCCATGAAGAGCAGCCGAGCTGACGTCTCATAAACGGTCTCCTGAGCTGCTGGAGGATAAATTGGGGCAGCGTCCCCAGGTCGCGGCAACTGAGCCAACCCACCGGCCAGGGCGGCCAAAGAGCCTACCGGAGGCGGAATGGGCATTGGGGGCAGCGAGCGCGGGGGTGTCGGCGAAGACTCTTCATTTGTTACGTCGATGCTGTCCTCTGAAATCAAATACAAATAAGCCTCTTTTAAAATTTTGCTTTTCAAATTAGTTAAGAGTCCATACAAGCAAAAATTGAAATTTTCTGTGATTTAGATAAAACAGTTGTCGGTATTCCTGCGAAAAATGTGTACCGCCTTTACTGTTACAGAATAAAAATACAAATTTTTTACCATTTTTCTTTTAAATAAAACTAATTAGAAAAATATCAAAACTTCATGGGGAAAATAAACTTCGGCCCCATTGATAAATATAAAATATAACGACAGTTTGAATGAAACTCTATTTTATTAATCGTCAGTATATTCAATATTTTTTTTATTAAATCGAAAGCTCTGTTAGAAATGAATTTTTTCCAACTGATGCAACTGTGACTCATTCATTTGCCTTCCCTTGATTGCAATTTTTCAGAATCTCGCACCGTCTGCAATTAATTTACCCACCGGTAAGACTCAACAGCGCATATTTTCCCTCAACTCTTTTATTTTCCCTTCACTCGTTGGCAGGAAAGGGTGGTTTCGTTGCATGCAATTAATCCTCTGCTCGCTCGCTCGCTGTTGGCGGTGCAACTCTTTCTTTCTCTCACTTTATTTCTCATCAAGCAAAAACGACAGCAACAGAATAAAATTTAATCGAATCTGCTCCTCCTTTCGTGGCGGCGGCAAAAATTTTAATTGATCATCGCAAGCAGAGCGGTGAGGCAGACACAATTAATTAAATAAGAAATGCAAGAAGAAGGGCGCTTCTGCTTCTTTGATTAATTAATTGGAGGAAGAGACTGCGCCGAGCACACCGGTTATAAAAAAAAATAAAAATTCGTGACGACTTGATGCGGTTTTGAGGCCTGTGAATCATTCTGTGTGTCATTCTGTTTCCTTCTCTCTTTGCAAAGCCTTTCGGTGGATGTATTTGAAACATCTCTTAATCTTATCACGCAGAAATGCTTCCTCAGAATTTTACCTTCACCAATTTATTCCCTGAAGACCAATTAATCAATTTTATTATATTTATTTTGAATTTTATCCAATTCCAAAGCATTTTACTTGAAAATAAGACATCTTGAAATTGAGCTTTGAAGATCGAGCTATTAAAAAAATAATCATTAAATTTTTATTAAAATTGCGAGAACTATTTTTTTTTTAATGTGGTTTTTCTTTTCGATTTTAATTTTTTGCCACATGAAAATGATTAAAATTTTTTGAAAATACCAAAAAATCAACATTTTTATTATTTTTTTTAAAAATAATTTATATACATATTATATATAATATTTTTGCTTCGGACAAAATTTCTATTGCATTTCGCCAAACATGGCGATTTTTCCGTTCGCGCGAGGTGATTCAGGGCGTGGCATGTGATATTCTAACTGTAATGCGGACTCTGGCGGGGGTGTAGGCGCCGAGGGGGTCAAATGGTGCGCGTGCTCGACGCCAAATCTCTTGATCTCGGACCGCCCTCGCTCTCTCGTACTTGAGTTTTCCTCGGCAACAGAGAGAACCGACTTCACTGAACAGTGAAGCTTCATTTCTCTTTAACTTTCTTATGCGACAAGGGAAGAGAGAAAAAAAGGGAACCTTATAACTCCTATCGCATCACGTACCAAACGTAAATCCACAGTCAAATCCCCACACTCGCTCTGAGAGACTCTTTTACCAAAACTAAAAGATGTAAAAGAAAAAGCAACGAAGCTTCCCTGCTCGGGACAGAAAAAGTGAAATACGATTTCAAAAATCAAAAGAAAATAATGATGAAATAATCCATTTCATTCAAAAAATTAATTTCAACGGCTAAAAAATAAGAGGATACAAAATTTGGTTTATTATTATTATTATTTTTTTTTTATATATTATTTTCAAGAGCCAATTTAAAATAAGTTAGATTGAAACCGAAATCATTCGCTTACCGTCATCCATGTTATCTGGTTTTGAGGACGAAGAGTTTTCGGGCATGGGTGCCAGCATTGTGGGAGGGTAACGTGGAGGACCAAGAGCCATGCCAAGAGGCCCATTGACAGGTGGCCTGCAACACAGACTGCGCCGATTAGCCGGTTGATCATGAAAGTCCAAAATTCTAAACAAAAAAATCACCATAATTTGCACACAACTACAAACTACTAAATTGTACATACGCTTGAATTTCGATTGGTAATTTAATGTTATGATTTCAAAATGGAAAAAAATTAACAAAAATTCTTTATGCAAAATTATCATCTCGAAGCATACAATCCCATTTTTAAAGAAAATTTAAGAGTCATATAATGCCATGTACATACATAATAAGATATGTCTAAAAAATTGTGTAGTAATGGCAAAGATTGTAATTTTCTTTCTAAATGAGAACTTTGAGTTTATTATCGACATATCTTGATATAATGTGAAATATCAACAAATATTATTTGCAACTTAAATAAATACAAATATCTTTAGTCCCATTGCTGAATGTAGTATTTTTGTAATAAAATTAATTATTTTAAAAATTTTATTGCAAAAATTAATGAAATATTGAAATAAAATCTTAAAAATTATTTAAAATGAACTCATTTTTTTTTTAAATCAATTCACTATTTTAAAATATAAATGTACATAATATCAGCTGATATTAATATTTTGCCAAAAGAATTTCTACTTAAATTGATATTCTGATAAGAGCAAATTTATTAATTTTATTCCTCCTATTTTCATTTTTTTTCATGCTCTCACATCTGCTCTTTTTATTTTAAAATATAATATGGCCCCGTAAAATCTTCAAAATTGCCGAGCTATGTGCGTACTTTCATAGAGCGCACGCAGTAACAAGTGAAAAAAGAAAGGCGCGCGTCAAAATTTAGCATGCGTCATAAAGGCATGGAGTGGCGCAGGTCGCTTATTCAAAAGCGCGAGCGACCGCATTTAAATTGGACAAAACGCCCTTAATGATCGCCGCATGCAAATCGAATTGCCGCGCTCGCTCTCGGCCCATATGTGCGCTCATTAAAATCTCAAATCTGCGCGCGTACATGGCACGGCACTAGTTAACCAAAAACTTAATAGACCAATGTAATATTTCATTTGCCTATTGCACAATGCGCAACTAAATCTGGCAAAACTAAACAACCCTTTCAAAGAGAGAGCCGCGTATTATTATAATATGTGCGAGTCTTACAAAAGGACATGTAACGATCACGTGTAAAAAGTCGCTCTGCACTAAATATAATATGGAAACAATTTGTCGCGGCGAGAATAATTTGGGTAGCCGTTGTTTGTCCGAAATTCACTTGTTTCGAAATATAGAGGTTTTGTCGCTTGTCCATAATGCATTTGGTGTGCAAACTGTTAATTTCATTTGATCAGGAAAGGAAGTTGAAAGGAAATTTTTAGCTTTCAAAGTGAAAATTTAATTTAATATTTTCACTGGTTTTCAATTATTTTTTTCGCTAGAGCTTAAATATTTTTCTGGGTGAGTTCAGCATAATTTTTCAAAATAATTTAATTTCAATTTTTGTCACGTTAAAAAAACTAGATGCATAACAAAAGGAAAATAAGTTTTGTAATTTTTGTACGAACGATGGTTATCTCCAATAATAATTTGCATAGCGTGGCCGCGAGTAATGAAAAGATTAAGCGCTGTTTGCCCGTCCCTCACATGCAGATGCGACCCGCGAGGGGTGGAAGAGGCGCAGCCACCCCTGGCCGGGGTGCGTGCGGTCCAACAAAAGGCCCGCTGGGGCGCGAGATAGAGAAAGAGTAGCACACCCTAATAGCTGTATCATCGCGCGCTGACGAATTATTATTATTATTTTCGGCCCAGGGGATGAAGATCGACTGGTGAAGCGAGGGTTGTCGATTTTTGTGTTATTTATTTTACGCTGACATATCTTTTTCTCTTTTTAATGTTCAACAGATGTTGTTGCACTGATGGCGTGGAGAATTAATCATATCATTTGCATGCTGGTGGTTAACATTGAGTTAATCAAAGTTACAGTACATTTTTAAACACAAGATTATTATATTATTTAAAATTATTTAATAAATTTAGCTTATTATTTGTGTTATACTTATTTAATTTGTTAAATCTTTATATGAATGTTATAAATTACACATTTAATAGAAATGGAAACAATATCTTTAAAATTTTCATAATCAATACTCATTTAATTAATTTTCTTTACCAAACATTTACTGTTACATCCAATTCAATTTATATGAAATTGGGGCGTTAAGACGTTATATTAGTGAAGATAATTTTGAAACTAAAATTCTAAACAAGATTGTGATTTCTACGTAGAAAATGGGCAATTATTTGATTAATGATCAGATAACGGTTTTGGGAACTGTTATTTTGTTATACACTGAATTGAATTGAATATATACATATCCTATGTAAGGAGATGTTTTCAACTGGTGCAATATCATATATGAAATATGAAGCAAAAATAGAAACGTGGAGGCTTTTAAAATTCCTTTGAATTTTAATCAGATATTAAAATTTATAATTTTCTTCTGCTACGCAAGCGAAACAATGGAAATTTTAACTTAATAATTTTTACTTCACTAACGATCTTCCGTTTTTACTTTTAAATAATATGATTATTAGCTATAAATGACTTATTTTCACCCTCCCTTTAAATTCTGATGGCAAACCATTTAAAGATTTTGTGTATGTGTATTTCATTGTATCTGAATGGAGAATAAATAAATAAATCATATCCCCAGAGAAAACTGCGGTCGAAATCCGAAAACAACAGCGGGTCGCTGATAATCGAGAGGCTGTTGTCAGCATGTTCATGCAAAAGCCACAAATTGCGTCCCCTGCACTTGCATGTCCACTCGACTCGTTTCGAAATCAAAACAGCGGTCACGTATGGGAGAAAATCTCGAAAAATCTCTCATGCAAATAAACAGACTCGTGTACTTTTGGTTTTCCGCGCGGCCGCCCGGTCGAGTATTTTGTCCGGCAGCAGTTGATGAACCCTCGGCGTTCATCAATTAAAGGTTTGCGCCTCGCGGGACGCACTCGCAGAGGGCGAAATAATAAAATCAAAGCGGCATTAGCATGACAAATGAGGGCGCAGATGGATTCGCGATAGAGCGGCGCGGCACCTGCTCTCCCCCAGCTCCCATTCCAACTACTTCTTTCTTTAACGCGATCCACATGCGTGATTTATTTAAATTGAATTTCTTGAGTTTGAAACTTTGACACGACGAGTGGCGAAAGCGGGGCTCATTTGGATATGCAAATCAATCTGCGTTCCTCTCTCAGCTTCCTACCAAACTTGCGAGGGCAATTCTAGATCTTCTGATTTGATTTTTTTCATGTAATTTTATTATTTCTTGAAAAATTTATGAGATTTTTATCATAGTAAAACACAGCGATATAATATGACGATACAAATCCGCAAAAGCAACGTTTTAAATACAATTTCTTGCTTTTTTTTAAGAGATAATCAAATTAATCAATTTGACTTTTATTTGTGATTTGTCATTGTTTCCTCTAATTTTAATTTTTAGGAAATAAGTCATTTTCTCCTTCTAAAATTCAGAAATTAGTGCAAATAAGACCCTGCAATTTGATTAAGTTTAAGCTAGGGTACTTTATTTGATCCTATTGTTAGTTAAATAATAGTTTATTTTATTTTACCATGTACAATAATGCAAAAATTTATTTATGGTTTAAAAAATTTTATTTTCAAACTTGCAGGATTTTTATCAGTTTGTCCTGGATTTTTTTTTTAAAATACCAAACTTTTTAATCAAATCATATAATTATAATTTTAAGTTTGTCAAGAAATAATGCTAAAAATACAGACGATTTTTATATTCGAAATCAACTCACCCAAAAACACCGACGGCTACAGCAGCTTCTCTGAGAGCACGACCCTGTTCCATTTCCATCAAAGCTTCAGGTCTGATCGTTGCAGTGTTTCGTGGTTGCCTCTCGTTTTGGACAGCTGAAACAATTATTAAAATTTCCCGTAAACTTATGAATTTTATATTTAGTAAGTTCTTTTAAATCTTAAAGTTGCTGAAGCTGAATGTATAAGTTAATTTGGGCATGTAAAAATAATTCAATTTCAATTCAAAACCTGTCACTCTGATTACATAGAAAAGTCATTTACCATCAAATATGAAAGCTGTTTAAATTAATAATATTTAAAATTAGAATATTAAATTAAAAACAAAACATTTGTTTCTGTAAAAAAAATTTCATTTAATTTATATTTTAAAAACATAAAATATAAATATAATGTTTCAATATATTAGTATAAATGAAAAATAATTTAAATTTTTACTTCAAATTAAAACGTGTATGTAAAATTTATTTAAATTTTTAATTGGTTAATTTTTTCTTCTAATTATAAGGAAACACCTAGTTAATTTTCTTAAAAACAAATTAATTCAACCAATTTGTGTTAGTAGAAGAACCTCGTATAAATCAGCAGAAGTAAATTTGGGCAAACATTGCGTTTTTTTTCTCGCGGCGGAACACACGTCGCGGGCAGCAGTCAGGGATGGGCCAATTAATGCAAACTTCTCTCGGAGTAATTGGAGCACGGTGGGCAGGTGGAGCGGAAAAGGAGACTGAATGGGAGGCACGCAAGCGAAAGGCAATCGGCAAAAAAGCCGCAGAAAAAATGTGTGAAAGGAAGCGTGAAATATGTTTGCATTATTAAACAGGGCGGCGCATCATCGCGAGAGTCGATGCGTCGCCTGCGTTTGACAGCCTCGCTCGCTCTTCACGTTTTGCACAAATTAACAAATCGTTCCCGTCAACGTCCCACGCATCCGTGTTTACGCGCTCATCATCAATCCACCCGTTCGAGATTTTTCCTCACTATAGGTTTTTTTTACTGAAAATTCCTATATTTTATTTTATTAAGTAAGAAACAATGTACTGAAATTACTATGTTATTCACATGATAAATACAAACATAATAATATTGGTTTTAAAAGGTATTCTCAAAATTAATGAAAACTGTTTTGATTGAGTATCATTCATTACTTAGTTCTTGTGTTATCATAAAATCGTTAGAATGTTTCTAAATTAATAATTAATTAATCAATCGATCGAATCCTGTTGACTCAAACTTAGTATGCGTTTTGGCATGCAATAATTAATTAGCAACTGGAATTGCACAAATACTACAATTATTTAATTTTTATAGTATCTTAGCTTAAAATTTTAAAGTTTAGTAAGCGGCTGTATATTAAAACCTCAAATATCAAATAAATTTCCAGTAAAAAAAATATATATATATAAAACATTCTAATTTAATTTAATTAAAAAAAAAGAAACTATTATAATATAAAATATATTATATAAAACTTTTTTAATAGTATGAATAATTTAAAGATATTAACATAAACTTTTTGTATGTATTATGTATGGTTTTTTAATTCATATTATATTAATGTACTTGTATGTATAAATATGCTTTAGAAAAGTAAAAAGAGCGATTTAACACTTTATATCTCAAGCGGCTTGTTTTAAATCAAAGCCGAGTCTTTGAAAGTTTTACACATTTATCTTAGCGTATTTCAAGATTTCAACTTTCACAAACAAATTTTCGCTCTTCTGAAAAGGTGGTGTTAAACCAGTTAAACTTCCATTTCAATTTCCATCTTCAAATCCAAAATCAGTTCAGTATTACCTTATAGTGGAGATTTAGATTGACTATAAAACCTGAAAGATCTGTAAATTTTAAAATAAATGCCAAACTGATTGATTTTTCATTTCAAAGAATGAAATGATTTAAGTATAAGTTGAAGTGCATGCATAAGAAATTCTTAAATTATCCAAAGGATGAGCAACATTTAATTTTTGTACAGGTTGCATATTTCACATGAAAAGAAAAAATGAATTTTTAATGCTGATAATTGTTAACATTTTTCATTCCCGACTCCAGTGCATTTTTTTATGTTTGCACAGAATTCTGAATTGTTTCTTATTTATTCCGTCCCCTTGCGTTATTCGTTTGAAAAGAAGCAGCGCAACTTTTGGGCCGCCGCGAGATCGCATAAGCCGCTGTCTTGGCAGCAGAGAACAAAATCTTGATGGGGCCGGCAGGCACCCTGATTAATGGCCGTCACACGGAGAGAAGTTATAATTTACGATGCAACTTTTAAGACGTTTGCACAATGTCACGTGAGCAGCATGTTTTTATTTACGACTTTGAGCCGAGAATTTATCGCGCTTCTTTTACCCTTTTAATTCGGAGCAAACTTTCTAATTTATCGTCTTTTCCGGGGCCCGAGAGAGAAAAATCAAAATATAAAGGAAAGTGGAGAAACAAAGAGAGCGAAATTATTGTTATTCAGAGCCCATCCTATTCAGGCGGAGCGAATTTATCACGTTAAGGGCGTGATGAGAGATTTCTTCTTGAGTGGCTGCTCGTGCTTATTATTTCGAGGGATGGCGGAAAGACAGAGCAGCAGGCAGGGGATGAATTGTAAGTAAAAACGAAATGAAAATTGAATTTGTCAGCCGGCAGAGAAAGCATTTCTCTCTCTCTTCTTTTGTTTGCAGCCAAGCCGCAATCGCATTATGCTGATCTCAAAGAAAGGCTTCTTATTCGCTTCCCTGGTAGTGCGTGCCGTTATTATTATTTCAAATTCATTCCTTGCCTTTTTCCCTTCTCCCTGCTATGCTTTGCTAAAATAACACAAGTGGAAAAAACGTGCGGCGCCGGCTGCTCTCCTTCCGAATCATTTTTAATGCAAAAACCTCGCCACGAAAGCAGAAAGAAAATTCTCATCTTCCTTTTGGGTCGCCGTTGTTGACCAGAATTTAGCTTGTCTGAAAACTTAATTCAAAAATATATTTGAATATATTTACGAGGCTCACTGCGGCGGATGGGGTCTTTTTGATCTCGGAAGTTTTAGCAAAATTTTTGCTAGTGGTGATGCCTTTTTGTCCAACAATCTCTTTTTTTTAAATAATTGTTTTTCAAAAATTGAATGTAAACAATGTATTTGTAACAATGTGGACAAATAAACAACAATAATAATAACTTAATTCCAAAATATATTTGAATGAAATATTTTTTTTTTTTGTTTATCAAAACTATTGAATAATAATAATAGAAGCTTGATATTTTAATACTATTATGAATCGTCAAGACTCTATGAAAATAAATTTCCACTCACAAGTTATGCTCCCGAGATGACACACGCCGATTTTGTTGAAAGTTGGTATGCAACTTGCACTACCCTTGGGTGTTCTGGAATGGCTATCAAAAGTTGCCCAATTTCACAAGGGAGGGTAGTTTCCATTAAAACGCATGTTAAAAACGATCAGATGTAGGCAACAAAAGCGTCCTCTGTGTATATAAGTTGCCTACATCTGATTTCTCCAATGTAATTCAAATTACATGGAGTTTAAATGGCAAAAATTAAACAAGGAAAATTGGGCAAAAATTAATGACCGTTCTGGGGTACCAATGGGTAGAAGAAGTTGTGCACCAATTTTCATTGAAATCGGGGTGTGTCATCTCGGGAGCATACCTTGTCAGCTAGTTCCAAGTCAGAATGATAAAATTGTCTCATAATCAGATTTGGTCATTTTTTAGCGAAAAATAATGTTTTTGTAGTGAGAAATAGTAACAAACTTAAAAGCTACAGAGCATAATTGAGGACAACATCATATTTTTGTTATTCTCTCAAATTTATAATGGAATTATACTATTTTTAGGGCAGACAAAAATTATACATTTTTATTCATTTTTCCCTAAAATACATGCTTGAGAAGTTTTTGATTTGTACCAACCATAGTGAATCAGTAATATTTGCTCGAAAATTAAATTATTGTGTTTTTTTTTTTCATTTTTTTCCCCAATAAATTCTTGAATGAAGCCATTTATAAAACAGCAAAATACTCCCAAAATGTTAATAAAGTTATTAAAAATGTTATTTTTTTCATTTTGACAGAATATTTGTCTCCAAAATGATCCAAAAGTGGATTTTATTGACTTTTAGAAATACGGTAAATATTACGTTTTTTTTTTTTTAAATACGAATTTCATTGTTTTCGGACCAATATGGGGTTCCCCTTCTTTCTCCGCAGAGAAAAGGACAACAAACATCCACTTTCTTTTTTCCTGCTATCTTTCTTTCTCTCCCGTCCTTTTTCCCGAGCTCTTTTTTTTCGTCGAAAGTAGGTGTAGGTGTGCGAGTTATTTTATACTTTTTATCCCTGCGGCGTCTGTGGCGGTGGAAGCGTGTGAGGAAAAATGGATTTCGCTTGGCTAAGCGTAAATTTGCACATCAGCCCTGCGGCGGACTTTTTATCTTCCTCTCAAAGTGAAAAGCTGAGAGGCGAAAAGAAAACCCGTCACAAATTTGCTTTGATTTGCTTTTTTAACGAGGAGCCAAGGAGGAAAAGAGCCTTTGATGAGGCGCGCGTGACGATCGCTCGATTTTCTCTCTCGCGAAACCCGAAAGAGCCCCGCGGTTGAACTCCATCGGCCGCGCCGCTCTTTTCGACGCCGTTTGAGTTCGCGAAAAATTCTCTGACGGAGAGAGACACAGAGAAAGGCTTTCCAGCCACTTCAAAGTGATGCCTCGAGCCTCTAGAAATGCCAGCGTAAAAGGTTGACTGGAATAAAGGAAGGGGTTAACACGCGGGTTTTTTTACTTTCAGTATTTAAAATTATTGAAAGGGTTTCAATGTTGAATTTTTCTATGAGAATTATTGAAACACATTAAAATATTAGATTTTACAATGTATTAAAGAAGCACAAATTTAAAAATTGCATTTAAAATTTTTATGCTTAAAAAAAATGCTGTTTTACTTGCTCGAAAGAGACATGAAGGTAACCAAAAAAACAAAGAAGCAATAAATTTTTTTTATTCATTTTTACTCAAAAAAATCACATGAAGCCTAAAATAAACGTGCTTCAAAATTGGTTTTATAATTTACATAACGTTTAAAACTAAAATCAGATTAATAATTAGTGCAGGTTTAATTGGTAGGAAAGGCAACTTTCAGATAAATAACCAAGAGCCCTTTTGACGAGTGGCGCGTGACGATCGGTCGGAAAATTTGGTCGCGCTCAATTTGCGCGCCGCAAGCTTTTGGTTTCTAATTATTAACAAAGCGGCTGCTTTTTTGCATGTCGCGAGTCTCGTTATTGCTTTGGGAGGAAAAAGTGGTGCGAGAGAAGAAGAAGCGCGATTGGCCTCATTAAAGAGCGGCGCACGCCTCATTTGCATGCCGGATAATGACACCGGCAGGTTTCACGCCACCAAGTTGTGATTGCTCGCGGCTCAGAAGGGGTTGCACATTTCCACTAACAAGAGACTCACAAGAGAGACACATCATGCAAAGCGCTGACGCCGCCGCCGAAGCACGTTCCCCCGACACCCCCGAATCTTCCCTCGGCTGCCAAATTGTCACATGGATTTTCATCATGAAAGTTTTTTTCTCTGTTTTATATGATTCTTTAATTATAAATTTAATTTAATTATGATTACCTATTAATTCAATAATTCTGAAAAACACAATGAGTGTCTCTACATTTACCTACGCCTTAATCTTTTGGAGGAAATTTATAATTTACTAAAAACCTTAAAAATTAAATGAATTTTTAAAGCGGTCTCTACGAATTGTAAAAATTTAAAAACTTTTTATATGTTAAATTAATATAATATAGTTAATTTAAAATATAGTATCTTTTTAATGTATATTAAATATAATAAGTAAAAAGATACACATTGTTTAATAAAGATATAAATAATTTCAATTTATTTTTATTTCAACAATAATAGTGTTAAGAGTGTTTAAAAAATATAAAAATGAAGTGGAATTACGACGAGGCCCTGCTGCAATAAAAAATACGAGAATATTAACCTACAGGCACAATGGACTGCAAAACCATCAATTAAAATAGATCAAATTTAAATTACATTCAGCCGAAATTTGGAGCATTCCAGGTATTTACAATTAAAGTATGCATTTGTCACTTCAATTTCTAGTTTGAAGAAGTAATATAAAAAAAGTTTTTTTTATGACAAGAAAATTTGCTCATGATTTGGAGAGGGGTCTTGCTTGTTTTAATGAAATTAAACAGTTGAAAAAGTCTCACCCAGAGATAAAGTCCGAACTCCGAACAAGGCAATACAATTTTGAAATAGTCTGGAAATATGTTAATAATATTGTTGTATTGATAAGTCAATAAGTATTTGTTGGAATTCTCACAATATTTTGATTCAGAATGACTAAAATTACGATTATAATATGTCGTTAGATAGAATTTTGAAGCGAATAAAAAAATATTTTTTGCCAGTATTCTTTAGGAATATGGAATATTGATTATAAAAGAATGACTTTAAATTGTTTACTTTATGAAACTGATGTAAATCAAGTCTGAGTTGAATGTGCAAGGAATTTTTTTCCAAAATATTTATTTTTAGTTAGTAAGTAAAAAAAAATCAATTTAGAAAAATACTTTAGATAAATTTGTAAACACATTTTTTCACTGTTTAATTTATTTATGGAAAATGGTTTGTAAGGAGCGGTGGGTCGTACCTGGAATCTTGCGGCAGTGTCGTCGCCAGGACGACGACAGCGTGGGCGAGCTCCTCCGGAGGTCAAAGGGGGCTACGGCGGCGAACAAGTGATGGCTGTCGCGCACATCTGAATCAAGACAAAGGACATTCATTGAGCCAACGGGTCGTGTTCGCCGTAACCACACCTTTTACCCCGCGGGGGAGCAAAACATCAAAGCGGTTTCAGGGAGGAGGGTCGGGAGAAGCCAGGCTTTGTTTGTCTTTCGTTACTCACCGTCCTTGTTCATGCCCATCTCAAGGCACTTCTTGAGTCTGCACGCCTGGCATTGGTTCCTGTGCGCCTTGTCGACGATGCACCGACCTGTCCCGGCCTGACATCTGCAACACACAGATGGAAAGCAAGCGCCTTAGGTACAATCTAAAGGAAAAAAATCATAAGCGGCCCGTTTCAGGGCCACCTCAAAAATGTAATTATTTGTATTATTACGGGATTAAATATGGCCGGTTGGAGCAACAAACAAAATTTTTATTGTTAAGTTGCCTGCGTTCCCCTTTTTATTTTTGCTTAAATTCCTTCAAATAAAAAGTATTAAAAATGCTGCCATAAATAGAAGCAAGTTTATAATAAATTAGGAAGAAAATATACAAAGTAAGAAACGATATAATATCTTATCTTCGTTGATATAAAAAATCAAAGACGGTCACCTATCATTTCTATATTTTTCCTTTTAATTACAAATAAATAATTAAATTTACAAATGAAATTAATCTTATCAATCAATCACTTTAAATTTTTTTAAAGAAAATAAATTTTCTTCCTCCACTTCCTTATATTCTGGGAAAAGTTACGAGGATTGCTTCTTTTTTTCTGTGGTCTCGCCTGCGTTTGTCAGGGAGGCGTGTGCACCCCTGTCAGGGTGTTTCGACCCCGTCGGTGACCCTCGCAGCACGCGGCAAATTGAAAGCTAACAAGTCGCGGTGGCACCTTTCGGGAGAGAGTTGGGGCTGCGGCGGGTTTGTTTGATTCATGGCTGCCAGCGCAGCGAGAAGGATTACAAAGTGCCAGATGGGGCCGTAATCAATTCCGGCGCACGCCATTCACTCTGATTTACTGAGCGCTGCACTCTATCAAGGATAAATTGGATGCGCGCCCCGGCCGGATTAAATGACGAAGGATTAAGGTGGAAATTGCCAAGCAGCAGGGGTTACCAAGTGGGACGGTCGACCAGCAAGCGCAGGCAGGGGATTCGAAATACTTTGACAGGACTCGTGTGTGGGTTCCGCTGCTGTGCACTCTTTTAATCGAATTAGATGCAACCCAGCCCAGCCGCCCCCCAGGGGCCACTCATGTTGTTATCAAAGTGCGTTAGGAATTAGTAAACTTGATCATTAGATCTGCATTCTTGTTGTGACCCTTCTCAACAGTGTATCAAAATTGTAACACAAAATATCTCTTTGATTAAACCACGCTTTTCCTCTTTGAGCGCAAACAAATATACTTGCTTTAATTTTCCTATAGAGTGTCATTTCTTTTGAGTATTAGGTATAAAATAAATTGAAACCAGATTTTTCACATGTTCATAATATTGTATGCTCGCACTTATTGATTTTGTTATGGTTTTTTCATATGATTGTGAACGAAAATAAAGAGGGGAAAGGTGAATCCACTGAAAAGCCATGACAAATATATATAAAAAAAATTGGTAAAATCTATTTAAACTTTATCAGTATTTTTTATTTAAAAAATATGTTTTTCAATGTATTATTAAAAAAAAATGATAATTATTTACTACTATAAAGCAAATTTTTAGCCACAGAGTAAAAATCTGCTGATTTAATATTTCTTTTAATATTTCTTCGCTATTGTAATTACTTTGACTAACCTAAATAACATTTTTAATTTTTAGACAAAACCTGACAATGAGACTACAGTCCCATATTGATAACTCAATTCAATAATAATTACAATCTTCTCACCTAGCACATAACATAATAACTATTGTATTTGTATTATTTGTATTTACTACCGATAAATAAAACATTTTATTTAAAAATAAAATACATACCTGTAAATAAGTCTCCTTCTAACGGATCTCTTGAAGAATCCGGAGCACCCGTTGCAGGCGAGGATTCCGTAGTGCTTTCCCGAGCTGGTGTCGCCGCAAACGACGCAGGTCAGGCCCGTGGGTGGTTTTTTGCCGCTGTTGCTCAAAGGACTGGACGACGGCGGCCCAGGGTGGGTGCTGTGCATGAGGAAGCCAGGCGGCGGCGACCGATTGGCCTGGATCAGGGTGTGGGGCGCGCAAGGGGGGCACGGGCCTAGACCCAGGCCCGAGGCCAGGCTCATGGGTGGGTGGGCAAATGAGGGCATCGTCGGCGAGCGACACACCAACCTGGGCGAGGGTGAGCGCGACGCAGTGGGGCTGAAGGTAGAGTCGGCGCCTGGGGAGTCGCGACGGCTGCTCACGTTGTCTGAAAACAAAAAGCAATTAGCAAAATTATTGGTCGTTTCGAAAAAATAACGACGTTGGTATTTAACGACTGTTAGGCTTTCTGTTAAGCATTTATGCATTGCGGGTCTGCATAACTACAATATTGGGCCGTCTTGTACGAAATAATACATATAATTTTTTTTCAATACAATATGGAGAGGTGCTAACTATTTCGTTGAAGACGTTGAAAATGTGCAATTTCCTTTGACTTTTTTTGAAATAATCACATTAAAAAAAAAAAAAAAAAAAAAAAAAAAAAAAAAAAAAAAACAATTAGAGGAAATGACTCCTTTGCTTAGAAATTTTTGTTTTGTTTTGCTATTTGTTTGTCTTGATCGAAGATTTTATACATAATTTTGAATTATTTATAAGAATAAATTTTTATCCTTAAAATCATCTTGCCCCAGGGGTTTTTGGCTCCCTGGTAAAAAATTTATGAATAGTAAATTAGTTGAAATTTAAATTATTCTACATTAATGGAATTTAATAATCAATCAACATTTTTTTCGCTAACAGAAATATTTTGTTATTAATAAATAATTTTCAGTTTTGCGCGATCCAGTCTGCATAAAAGTTAATTTAAATAAAATTTGCAAGCTTAAAACAGATTAGGATATCAAATTTTTAATCAAAGTTTGTATCACAATTGAAATAAAATTTATAAACACTTTTAGGCAGCCCATCTTCTTATGCCTGACTGAGTGCTTCACTAGCATAATCACCGCACAGCTGGAGATTAACAAAGTTCACGAGACCGTTGGAATCCCCGGCGTTGGACGGATTCGCAAACATAATTAGGAGAACTGCAGTGAAACAAACAAACAAACAAACTCCGGCAACAGGCTTTGCAGGCAGGGTTTGCTCGTGGCAGTAATTACAGAATGATCATTACCACCGGGCTGCACGCACGACAATTATTAAATATCTATGTACTTGTGTGCTGGCAATTTAATTTGCGCCATATCGAGCGTGGATTAATTAACAATAATCCGTGCAGCTCGGTGCGGCTCAGGCGTCTCGACTCGAGAGAGCGGGTTGCTCGCAATAATCTCCGGTGGGATCGACTTTGCGCCATCTGCTCTATCCCATACTAATAATATGTATTCCCCGCAGCCGTAAAGGCAAATCCAGCAGGCGCGCCGGATTACGCCAAAACCAGCCACATTTGCTGCTGCTTTTCCCATCTTCTTCGTCTATGTATATCTGCGTCGCAGTAAAAAATGACTCGCAAGGTGACTCGCTAGGCCTGGCATTATTTGCCGAGCCAAATTGCGTATGCGCGCTCGAAATTGAAAATGTCAAAACGTGTGAGCTCTCGTGGGATTTGAATATAAATTGAACTTTCACTTGAAACTTTGAATTTTTACATTTTGAAAGAGAGCTAAATGTTAATTAGTGCACAGGCATCACTTTTGTTTCTTAATCTTCAAAAAATTATTTGAAATAATCCACATTGATGGAAGTCATTTGCCAACGGATAGTAATGAAAATTTCTACATTTATAAAATTCAAGGGAATAAAAATTTTCCTATTGTGTTTTTTCATTAGTTTCTCATCACAGATGCAATAATTCAATTTTAAATCACAAGGGATTAAGTAAAAACTAAAACAAAAAGTTTTTGGTTCATTTTATTTGTATTTAAAAAAAATTGTATTCTAGGCTATCCAGAATCAAATTTTATTCTTCAATTTGAAATAATAAAATTTTAGGACTCCATATTGTCACATTGAAATCAAGACATTCTAGACTGTACAGCAATGGTGGTTGTTCCGATTGTAGTCCAATAATTTCTCATATTGTTGTGAGGACTTGATTTGACTATGTCTATAAGGAGTCCTAAATGAATAGATTTTGAATAATCTAAAGCAAGGGTATTTGAAAAGATTTTGGATGATTCTTATTCTTATAATTCTGCTGATTTTTCTCGAATTTCCTCAAAATTGGAGAAAAAAATTTCTAGTTTTATTCTAGTTTTAGTAAAATTTGTGCTACTGATTGAGCTGTTTTATCTCAACAATGTACTTTTTTTTAAAACATTTTTTTTTCGAATGGACAAATAAGCTGCAACAATCATGAAACCTGGAAGTTATTTTATTAGAGAGAAGAAAAATGGTATCAGGTTCCCGCCCAAAATCTCATTAATAAATAATCGGATTTCGCTCCATTCATTCATTATTAATTATTTCAATTCGAAAATTAGATGCGAATACAAATTAATCCTCAATTGAAATGCACAGCGGCACCACTCAAAACTCTCCGCTCACTTCAGATCGCGGCACGCTTTTGCATTTAAACGCAAAGCGAATTAGCCAAGTGCAATAAGGGCGGCTGCGAGAGTGAGTTTCACGCCGCACGCCGAGTCGATATATAAAGTGGAAAGCGTCGCAGCGGAATGATTTCATTTTATTACACGCGAGCAAAGCAGGGTGAGCTGCACACACCGCCTTTTGTCGCCATTTTTCATGCGGAGATTAGTCTGCTGGCTGTTAGCGAGTTCAACCCCGACTGCATAACACCGGAGAGCAATTTGCCAAATTTCATTAGCATATTCGCTGCGTGTATTGCAAGTGAATGCAGCAACCCTCCTGCATTTCACCCCGACCCAACCAGACGCGTGGATTAAGTGAATGTAACACACGCACTGGCATACTTAGTTTGGGGTGTGTGAATGTTGTTGAAAAAAATAAATACTTGATTTTGATTACTTAATTGATTTTATTTGTTTATAGGATTGAATTTTCAAAAAATATTTTTTGGGTGCTTTTAATGCAATTATTACTTATATCAGGCGATTTCTTAGCTAAATGTGTACTCAATTCTTGCTCCTATATTCGCACTAATTGTAATTTTTTTTACTTTTATTTAATTAAATATTTAGTTCATGCTAAAAAAATCTTAACAGTTTTGATCTAATTTTTATATAAAACATTATTATTTAAACAGTGCAATTTAAGTGGTGTGCTTTGTCAAGTATGAAGTCTATTTATTATAGTTAAATTATTTATTTTTTAAATTCATATACAGGTTATACATAATATAAGAATTCATTTAACTTTATTTTTAAAATTTGGTACTTTGTAATATAATTTTTTTTTTAAATTTCATTTTAAAGGATGAACCTGATTAGGGTTTGAATATGTTTACTATAAAAGTCAAAATTTTTTATTTAATTTTATACCGTATTAATGTAAGTTACTAAGTTATGTACTTTAGAAACTGACCATAAATTCTCATCCTTCCTTTTCCCTCTACTGATATAACAATTAATTATCTTATCTTGCTTCATTTCATTATTTTAATATGTTTAAACTAAAAATAGTTCATTAAAACATATAAATCACATAAACAAAAAAGCTCCCATAGTCTCATTTCAAAAGATCTTTGTGAAAATAAGAGTTTACTGATGATTTACTGTTAAAAAAAGAATAACAAGCATTTTCATAGAATGGTGAAAATAAATTAAAATTTTATATGAAATTTTACGACTGAAACATATTCATAAATTATTTCACAGCACAAAAATTGGCGAAACGAAGTTGAAATTTTCAAACCACTCAGTTGAATGAAAACATAGAGACAGCAGTCAAGGGTGTTTGCATCATTTTTCAGCCGTCCAAACAGACGGTAAATATCGCTGTTCATTCCCCAGGGAGTGCGATTTGTCTGCCGCTGGAGTAATTGCACCGACTTGATCCCACACTCGCGCATAAATGCATTTTAATGACGACGTATAAAAAAGCATACGGCGTGCGAAAATATAAAAAAGGCGCAAGGATTTGCACCGGGTGATTGATGATCGGGTAAAAAATCGGAGAGAAGGAAAAAACGGCGCATTCCATTAAAAGCTGTGACAAAGTTGATGAGCGCGCGATGCGTCCCCCGGGAGACGGGCCACGCTTTTGAATCTTTCGATCAACCGGGATTTATGCGCGAAAAAGTCTCCGAGGGATTTCTGACTGGGTTTGGCCGCTTTGATTCTCTCTTCTTTTTTTTTCTGTGGGGGTCAACCGGCCCGAAAACCGCCGGCGATGCTTTTATTTCGAGAGACTGAGCGTAAGCCGGCCTTTTGATTGAGCCCTCGGCTCAATCTCATCCCTCGACGGCGGCGCGTGTGGTAATTGAAAAAGCAAGTGGTGGTGGAAAGGAGTGTGTGTGTATTACACGCGACGTCATGCCTGCGTGTATATTTGCACGCATCAATTAATTGCTTCGAGGGCGCTTAAACGAACTCTTGCGTGTGGTGCAATTTGTAGCAGAATATTACACAGATCAGATTTTAACAAATCCTTACCAAATTGATTTTGCTATTATTTATTCCTTGCTTTTAGAAAATGTTTTTGACACTTTTCAAATCGACTGGAACGTATTTTATGAACTCTGAATTTATTTAAAAATTAATTAAAGCAGAAATATTCATTATATTTACAACAGTCTGAATAATTGAATCAAATAAAAATTATACGAAAATTCATTTCCTGGCTTCTGTTTAAGCTAAACTCTCCCTTACATTAGATTCTAGTCAAGATCCTGTGGACTGGAGAGCACGGATTATTCAAGCTCCAAATCAAATTTATGTACTCGTCGCCAGCCGCACTACTGCAAACTCAATTGTGAGTCCGAAAGCAGCATCAGCAGCACTTCTGAGAGGTAACATTTGTCCACCGAACACAAACTACAAAGTAGCATTTGTCAGCAAAAAAATAAGCAGCGTGTACGGGATTAGGCCGGCTTGTAATCCAGCCGGGATTACACGTTTCA